CAACCAATATAACAGGATCTTAGAAGATCTTCGCAAAGAGAAACCCTAATTTTTCGAGCAAGAGAAATAAGTATATAAGAATAAATAAAAAAACATACCTGTTAATGGAGGGTGGGAGGTTGGTGATTCAAGCCCAGGAACAATGGAGCTCGACCTACTGATGATTCTCCCAGCAATAGATTTTTCGAGCTCTTATTGGGGTGGGGGGGGTGGGTCATAAAAAATGTTCCAAGTTTAAGTTCCGACCCTTAGGTCGGAACTTTTTTTTTAACACGAGATTGGAACATGAACAGTTCCTTGAAGTTTTGTTTGAAGTTCATTTTTTTTATCAAACACGAAACTTGAACAGTACTAAGAAGTTCTCAACTTCCAAGAAGACGCTTCCTGCTATCAAACACGCCCATTGAGAGAGAAATAGCCTTTCAACTTCACAAGTTACCACTATTATATATAATTGAAAGTGAAGGATTATGTGATGCAGTATAAAATTTTCCGGCAAACAACACTCCTGATCTGCATCATTATGACTATATGTGTTTTATGACACTTAATAATCACATGAAATATGATAATGGTAACCCTCTAATTTCAACAGTCGAGCTGGTTCATGGTGGCTTTTTTGTTCCCTATAAAAGAACAATGAAACTTAATACTGTAGCCAACGGATGGGAGCACGTCTATCCACGTGAAGTGCAAAATGAGGGGATTAAGTATCATTTATCAATGTGAAAATAAAAACCCACTTCATACTCTTTATTAATGAGACAGTATAATCTTTTCTCAAGACCATAGCTTAAAAAGGATATTACTTTGAAAGACTACCAAGTAAATAAAAATATAACAATTTTCCTCCACTTACTTCAAAATAATGAAAAAACATTAAGCATCCATGTATTATTTGCATCCAAAGGGACATCTTCTGATTTGAACCTTAACTTTGTGTACATATTACAAAGCCCATCAAGCTCGATGTTAGTGTCTAGCATCATTTTGTTTTCAATATTTTATGAGCATATCCTTGTATTTATATTTTATAAGTACTCTCTAGACAAGTCCAATCTAATAGTATAGGCACCCAGTTTTTAGCTAAGGGAATTTTAGGTGCCCAAACCCTAAATGAATAGGACTTAGATCTAATCAGATTTTCAAGCCAACCCCTTGGACTCGATTTCCAGCTCACCAAAACACCCTGATCCCGCCTAAAATTCCACTACGGATCATACTAGGCTAGATAGTCCATAGACCACCACAATCCCATGATCCGTACACCTTAACCACAAGCCTAATGTGCCGTAGAAGTCTCATCATTAGGAAACCCAACTAATTAACATCGATCCACCTATTTAAACTTTAAACCTCCTAATTATCCCAAGCCATTATGAAAACTTCCCTAATTAGGCTAAACCCACCTTCTAACCTTCCAAAATTGCGGAAGCTCAATATTAAAAGACTTCCCAAGTTCCAACACTCTTAGACCTCCCTTAATCATACATTCATGATCCAAATCTAAAACTAAGCCCTCTAAAAAAAAAAAAAGTTTATATATAGGCTCTAAACAAACAAATTAGAGCCTACCTCAAAACTTTCACAGGAAGAGGATGTTTTGATGCCCAAATATCTTCAAATTGACCATTTCGACATCAAGATACATGGATATGAGAAAAAAAATGGATATCAAGTTTTGGAAATAGTGCATCTTGTAACTAATTTTTGGACGCCAATTTTTAAGATTTTCAAGTTTTCATAGATATGCTCTATCTACACTTTTTTTGAAGCTTTAAATTTTATAACTAAAGATGAAAATATTATTTAAGGCTATCACAAAACTGTTCAGTATTGAAACCATATTTCTCGATACTATTTGAAGGTGGACTCTAATTTGATTGTTTAGTGCTCGGCTCTATACAAACCGCACCCAAAATAAAATAAAAAATTGAATAAAGGGCATTCAATCTCATTGGTTGGCCACGCTGCCGCATATTTACATGGTGCGAATAAGGAAAAGAACATAAGTTCCCGATGAACAACCAACAAACTTTATTAATTAGAGGTTGAAAAGGTACAAAGATGGGACCGTTTACTTCAATTTAAGGTGGGTTCGTGACATGCACATGCTTATAGCCCCCGAGGTCCTTCAGTCTTTCTCAGGATAGGCTACCAGTAAAGCTAAAACAACAGGATTTGAGCGGGCCAACACTAGACCGAACAGTGCAGGATAGGCCTAAGGCCCCTCTTGACCTAGAAAATTCAGTTTCCAGCCCCGCCTGAATGCATGTTAATGAGGCCCAAGTCCAAACAAATGGGTTGAGCCAACCACGACATTACATAAAAGGGAATGCTTCTATGTGACCCAACAACATATAAGTAATATGTGACCCCACTTCTTAGTTGCTCAATCTTAATCAAAGGGCTACAATTGTTTATACCACAATGTCACGCCAAACATTGTTTTATTTTTCCAAATTTTTTCTACCAAATATTTTTGGATGAAAGTTTGGGCGTCCCATCATAAAATTAGGACGAACCTGTAAAAAAAACATTGTAAAAATAAATAAACAAAATGCCCTTGAATTTTTCAGGGCTATTCTGGTAGTTAGTCATCAAAAATATTTTATTGTTATTTTATCATGTGCGCCCCTGTTAGATCTATGCATGCTCAAAAAAAAATTTCAAAATTATTTTTAGAATAAAAAAATAAAAAACTATGAGTCATTTAATCAAAATCTAACGGTTAGACTCAAGACATCTCAACCATCTACTAAAATCTGACGGCTGAGACCATGGATCACATATAATATATATGGGTGGGTCACATAGAAAGTCCTACCATAAAATAGATAAAATTTCACTAAATATATGTAAATTAAGAATTAAAATAATTTTGGTGGGGATTGGTCCTGGCCACTGTTGGCCTAGGCCCGCCCTGAAAGTATATTTTTCTACTAGGCTAAGCCTGACCTTGGCCCTGTGGGCTGTAGCCCAAACCTTGCTCAAAACCGAGTCTTGCCCAAAATCCGTGCTTAGGCCCAGGCCCATTAACAGCCCTACATCTTTCTCACTCGTCCATGTATGAGCATGTGACCAAAATTAATAGGGAAGCCCCAAGCATATGATATCTTCACCCCATGGGCATGCTTTTCCATAGTTGTCCGTATCAAGAATCAGGCAGAGAGTGAGACACGGTGCCTCTTCCTGTCCAATGAGAATGAAATTCCAACCACTTTTGTTCGAGTGTTAGTACGGAAAGATTGATTGTTTAACACTTTACTCATAACTTTTGATTTTAAATAAAATGCCCATAAAAGAACACATCATCTTGAGTTCAAATAGTTCCAAATGCAAAAATTGTTTAATAGTTTATCTCTCACGGATATATTGATAAATTCTTGTTGAGATTAAGATTCTTGGCACAATTATTTCGTTTGAGAGATACCTTGTATTATATATAATATTATTTTTAAAAAAAGTTAACTATTTAACATTATACCCGTATAGTTCGACTTTAACTGAAAAATACCCATAGAAAACGCTTACGATTCGGACTACTTATGAATGTGCAAAATGTTGAAGAGTGCACACTTGTGGGTATTTTGTTAATGGTCATAAAAAGTTTAGCAAATTACAGTATTAACTATTTAGCATCTCATCCATAGGTTGCGATCCAATTTCAAATGGTCCATCGTCATTTTCGTCAATTTTCAAGTGACACATCAAAAATGGGTTTTGAAATATATCAAAATATATCTCGAGTAAAATAGTTCGATTCTTAAGTATATTTTTTATAAATTTCCTTTTAATTATTTAACTTTCAATAGTATTAGCTTTTTTGGTTTTTTTTGGCTAAAAATTGTGATTTTTTTAGCAAATTGCTTACAATAAAGTAAAAAGAGCTTATCAAAAAGATAAAACTACATGTATAATTGCCTATTAATTTATCTTAGACAATTTTATGGGTGACGCTCTCAAACAACATATAATTCATTATCAAGATTAATTTTATTAAAACAGTGAACTATCGATTATAATAAACACATTCAAACAAGTCCCAATGGTAAAATTGGCTTGTGGGTTGGCACCCACTTCTAGGGCAAGTGAGAGTGCGGCATATGCTCTCATAGTGCAGTTTGAGTGCACTAGCAAAGGAAGTTGAGGATTGGGGTTGAGGTCGTAATGGTAGCACCACTCGAGCTTCAGCTACCGGTCTAAGTTTTCATTCTCACTTAAATATTCGAAAAACGCTAATTATTTTTAAAACCAAGTAGGGCCTGTATTCCTCACTGATCTACCCAAAAAAAAAAAACAAAAGAAGTTGATGGACACAAGTGAAGAGGTTGACAGTGTGTGAGTTAGCAAAAGACATTAGCCCGGCTTGAGCATTGCTTGGGGCCCTAGAGGGCCTAGCTCAGCCCACCCAAGATTGGACTGAATGGGCCGTAGTCCAGGACGCACCCTACTCTTGGTCTAAGATGCTCAACTTGGTCCTATTAATAGATTGGGTCAAAAGGGGCTGGGCCAAGTAAATGTTATCTATCTTCTCAAATTCATTGTCGAGCAAGTCTGGTCGAGCCAAAAACCATAGCCTTGATCTGGTTCAGAGGGCCTAGATTATAGAGGCTGACCCATTGTTGGAAAATTAGTTGTTCTAGCCGGTAACTGCCAGGTTAGATGACCGGTTTTGGTTTCGACCAGTTTTGGTGACCAACCTGATAATTTAAAAAAAAAAATTTTAAAAATATAGTAAATTTCAAAAAATAAAAGATTTTGTTTGTAATGTATTTTTAATGTGTTTCATCATTATAAAAAAGATAGGGAAATTATTTTGGTCATTAATATTTATTTTATATTTTTCCATTTTTTTTAAAAAAAATTCAAAGATACCCCTAAACGCAAGTAGACTTTTTTTAAATTTATTATTTTCTTCAGATGTGATTTATTTAATTATTTTTTGGATATATTTTTTATATTTAATTATTTATTATTTAATTTTTTGTATTTTGAACTTTTTTTTTTTTACCGCCAAGGGCTTCCTAATTAGAACGGTTGTTTCATTTTTTGTATAGTGATGGGGCCCGGTCGTGGTGCCAAATTTCCCAAGTAAAAGACGGAAAGACCTCTGACACTGATACTGATGCGACACGAGTCGCGGCGGCCCTCTTTGCGAACTCACCTTAAACAAGTGCAACAAAATCACCCTTCCTTCCTTCCTTCCTTCTTATTTACTATTTACATTACATTAGAGACAGCAGTGGTCCCCACCACGCACGTGATGCACGCCGACCAATTCTCATTCTCATCCACACACTCCCAAGTAACCTATCTCATATGAAATCAGTGGTAAGAATTAAAAAAAATACCAACAAAAAAGCATTTCTCTCAGCCCATGCACCATCACCCGCCGATCCTCCAAATCGACGGCCCAGGCGCAGTGAGCACGGACTAGCGGCCGTGGGGTAGAGCAGGGGTGGTTCGTCTCTGAAGCCATCAACAGCGCCCATCTCCAAATCCTACGGTGGACACAGATTTTCCTGGCGAAAAGAAGGCAACCAAAACTTTACGGGGCCTCGAGCCGCCTTTGCCCTCACTGTGGTTCACCGGTGGCGGAGGGGAGGCAGCTGCGGCGGCAGGTGGGGCAAGAAACGTGAGCCGCGAGCCACCTCTCGACGCACCCGGCGTGGAAGCCGTGGCCGCAATTGGGAAGAACCCTTATGCGCTCTCCATCGCAGAATTCTGTCAAACATATGGCGCACTCCGCCACCGACCCCGGCAGCCCCATCCCCGCAGAGTACACGAGCGCAGGCGGCGCTGCTGCCACTGCTGGGGACTTCTCAGCCGCTTCACCGGATCCGACTCCGGCTCGGCCCCGGCTCTGGGGTTCGCGTCGGGCAAGTAAGTTGACGGCGCAGCGGAGGGCGGCGTTGAGGGCGAGAGCGCAGGCAAGGGCGCAGACGAGGAAGACCAGGACCATCGCCAGGTTCACGTCGAGCTCCCCTGCGTTCGAATAGGGGGCCCAGCGGCCCGACGAAAGGGGTTGCTGTTGCTCTTGTTTGGATTGAAGGGGTGGCGGCGAAGAGGAGTGGAAGTCATGAGGAGAGAGTCTGGAGAGATCTTCGGAGGAGAGGAGGGTTCGTCTCAAAGACATATCTCCTCTCTCTTGACTGTGCTGTGCTGTGCTGTGCTCTGCTCTGCTCTGCTCTGCTCTCTCTCCCTCTGTGGATTGTGGTCTCTTCTCTGAGAGTGAAGGTTAGGGAGAGGGTAGTGTGCTCTTTGGGGGAAGGCGTTTGAGGGGGGCATTTATAGAGAGAAGGAGCGTTGTGGAGTGAGCGGGGGACTAAGGGTTGTAAGCTTCGGTGTGGGCCGTGGGGTGCATTTAATGTTTGGAAGGAGAGATGATTTGATTTGGGTTTCCTTTGGGAGTTTAGAATAGAGGATGGGAGTTCAAATTTTCTTGAAATTTCGTTGACCAGTGGTGGAGAAATGAGGGTATGTCATGTAATGTAATGGGAAAGGTTTATATAGAGTCGAGGCTCTAATCAATCAAATTAGAGGCGGTTGGTCGAAAGATGGTGATTCGAATATTAAGTTTTTCCATGTCATGTCATGTCATTCCGCTCGTATGTTTATACGAAATAGTAGGCTAATCTCAAAACCTATACATATATATAAAACATATATCAATATGTTAGTTAAGCGGGTAGAGCCATTATTGTCAAATTAGATACTTGCATATTGAAATACCACAACTAAAAAATTTATTTTTATATTATAGACCTCATTTTAATTTTATAAATTAAAATAAGGGACGATATTCTTTGAATATGTACGAGCACATATTAACAAGACAATAAATTAACAACAAATGCATTAAATATATTGATAAATATATGCATATATAATTATGTAATAAGATATTAATGAAGATTCTTAAACATGTTGATGCCCATGCCTTGAAGGGCTCTTTTATTAATATCATGTTGTTCGCTTTGTCTAACGAAGTAACAGATGCAACATTTACATTTCTAGCTTGTTAAGTGGTACGTAATATATATTTTAGGGGGGTGTGATTTAACGCAAAAGTTGTATAGTAATATAATAAAACGATCTTCAAAAACTATGTTAGAGCCGCTTGTTTGACCTCAATTTTTATGTATAAACTCTTTTCATTCCAATAATCAATCACAAAAGTAAATTTTGAAAACACAACTTAGAAAATGTTTTTTTAGCCCAATTAATATAGGCTTTTTATTTTGATAAGATGCTTAGATCTAGATGTTAAAAGGATTATTTTTCCTTTCTAATTTCTTTAAATGCCTTTATTATCATTAAATGAATAATTTTAAAATAGAAAAAATGATTTTCAATTTGTAAATGTCTAGATCTTGAAATTTACGAAATGAATAGTATAGATTTGTTGTTGGAGGGGCTCATTTTGACCATATCTAGGGTGTAAATTGAATTTTTGTTTTTGTGTTGTAGATTGATTATTAGGATAAAGAAAATGTTTATGCATGTTTTAGGGTCATACAAATGCCAAAAACTTGATTATCTAAAGGTGTGGTTTCATTATATTATAATGACATGGTGACATGATATTATTCCCCACATTTTAAATATAGATATGAGCAATATCATGCAACCGTTGTATAGTAGTATGATGCAACAATGTTAAAAAACCATCTTATGGCCATTTATTTGATCCAAAATTTGAAATATATACTCTTTTTATTCTAATGAACAATCAAACAAAAAAAAAAAAAAAAAT